CGAATACAAGCAGAATGACGAGGACAGGACCAATAGAAGACGAAACATGTAAGACAAGACAAGACTACTCTGTAAACACAGAGTAACAACGACTCGACATCCCAACGGATGAAAGATGACGAACACAAGAGAACACAGCTCTAAAGCGAATGGAACACAAACCCACCAAATAAAATATGTACATGGCACAAATGAGAACGAATGGAAAATAATTTCATGTGTATGTGAGTGGGGGAGGGAAGGAGCGGGAAGGGGGTATAAATGAAAAAGCGGACGGGGCTGAGGCGCAAATGTAATAGTAGAATGAATCAGTGAGCACAAGAAAGGGACCTAAATGAGCCCGAGACAGAATGAAACCTGTGATGTTCTTAATTAGTTAAAAGGCCCTTGGGAATTAAAAAAAATAATGTTTTAATACAAAAATCAATTCACGTCTTGTGCTCGCCTCTGTGACGGCGTTCTGCTAGTTCATTGATAAATTATCAAATACTGAATACATGTAAAATAAATATCAAATAATAACCATGCTACGTATCCCTGGATCCAATGGACGGCCAGAAAAACAAATGAGGAAGTCTTAGTTGAAGCAAAGTAGAAGACAGCTTATGACGAATGTAAGAAAGAAACAGGCAAATTTCTCCGGACTCACAATGTCAAGCTAGATGGAAAGAGATGCAAAGGCAGACAGAGAGAAAAGATACAAGACAACATGGCAGGGAGCAGAAGAAGAAGAAGGAAGAAGAAGGAAGAAGAAGGAAGAAGAAGGAAGAAGAAGGAAGAAGAAGGAAGAAGAAGAAGAATTCCACGCAATAATGAGGTGATGAGTTTGTATATAGTGTGCCTCAGCCTGTAGAAAGATGTAGGCACGAGATGAGAAGAGTCATTTACCGCCGGAAAAAACTGGATTCGCATTGTTTATGTACAAAATCTTAAAACTTACGCCACAGACGTTTTTTATTAGTAAGATTTTTACAGCATTTGCAACACAATAAGGTCATATAAGTGTCGCAGATTACCGTGTTACAAGAGAGTAACAAACATAAAATAGAAGGTAGATGTTTGATAGGAAAGAAGGAGCAAACCATACGAGAGCACCCGCCAACCACCCACCGTTGTAGCTTTGAACACTCATTTTCTCAACTTACCAAAGAAAAAGAAAAGTATTAGAATACTGTAAAACGTTGGTGGGTCAAATGACGATGCAATGGGGTTTTGCTTGTTTTTTGTTGTTGGTTTTTTTTTGTCTGTTTCCTTTTAGTTTGTGTGTGTGTTGTTTGTATGTGTGTGTGTGTGTGTGGTGGTTTGGGGGGGGGGTGGGGGGTGGAGGATCATCTAAACGCTGAGAGAAAAAAGAAACAACAACTGTTATAACAAACAAACAAACAAACAAACAAACAAACAAACAAACAAACGTGAGAAACAAGAAAAACAAAATCCAAAAAAACTTGTAATATCTCAGTACAGTCTGTCGATACAAAACACTCCACTTGAGGTTAATAAATATTAAGTGACGACACTGTGGAATCAGGTGCTTGTCAATTTTGGGGCCCAGGGAGTTACTGGTATTATCTTAATGCTTGTACATTCGTCTTGCTTTTGATGCACAAATTCCTATTTACCTTGAATTGAAGTGTCGATATGTGTGATTGAAAGAGGTAGGGATTTTTTCTGGTGTCAGAGGTACTATGTGCGAGAAAATGGCCTGCCAAAATTTGGTAACTTTCAAAGCTTAAGTTTCCCTGGAAACTGCGATTTTACTTTTTTAAGCCTTTCATCAGCTTTTTTCAGAAGGTTAAATGTTTTTTTTTAAATTTTGTTTTTAAATGGACATACGAGGTGTTAAGCAAAAAAGCCCACAAAATCAACCAAAACAAAATTAGAAATAAGAAACAAAATTAACGAATCGATAAACATTGCTTTAGCGATCACAAAAATATGTCAGTATCTTCTATTTCATTATTTTGACAAGTGCTTGATTTCACCATTGTGCAACACGAGAGTTTTTGTCTATCACTGCACTTAAAGTACAGAACGCTTTAGTCAGACAGAATGATGCACTCAACAGATACACGTGAACGGCTACGTCACATCAAGTAGGAGGGAAAAAGATATCGAAGTGATATATCAAGTGAATTTTTCAACGAGTTTTGTTATCTAATGGAAAAGTTTGTTTGTATTTTTTAGAGATTTAATTTGACATATGCCTCCTCTCATGATTTTCACATGCTGATTAGAATTCTGTTTCCACTGCCATGGAATTTTTTTTATTGTTTATAATAAAGAGTAAGTTTTAAAAAAAACCAACAACAACCAAAAACATTAAAATTTCTATTATTGATGATGTGATTCTTCAGAGTGAGGGCCAGATAGAGCCAAAAGAAAAAAACACATTATTATTCATAATATTGTCATAGATGCTGGTCATCAAAATGAAAGACATCGTGACAGGTGGTACATGTATCGTGACATGTCGCATTGGGTTCAAGGTGTTCAGTATCTCAATCGCAGGGAATGCTGTCTCGTTGAAAACGTCACCTGTGCTATCCTTCACCAGTGTGACGTAGATGAGGGGAAGACTCGCAACTCGTCCAAAAAGCGAACTCTTTATCGTTAGCTTTGGCGTTGACATTGTATGCTTTTACGCCGCCTTCAGACACTTCAGGGTTATTTAAATGGTCAGACCTCTACATTTATTGTCCATCCCCAACAGTGCCAAACCAAAATATGTGGGGAGAATCTCGAAAACTCTATAAAAACAACGCACGGTAAGATCTCCCCTTTGGGGATTCCAACTAGGGCCATCGAAAATGTAACGCTGAAAGAACATGAAGAACATGGTTGATTGCGAGGATTAATTTTTTCAGTTTCAAGAGACACCTGTATTTTCACTTTGTTTGATTTTTTAAATGTCGATTGGTTTAAAGTCTCGCAGGGTGTCTTTAATACACATACTATTAGTTGAGAGGGTGCGGTGAGGGAGCGGTTAGTGCGCTCGTCTCGGAAACGGAAAGTCTGGGTTCGAGCCTCGGTTCGGACACGGATTATTTTCGCCCCTTCCTTCCCACCCAGCTGTAATGGGTACCTGCCTTCGAGTTGGGGAAGTAAAAGCGGCGTGGAAAGGAACTTGCCACCCTACCACAATATGCCGAAGGCCCAGGAAGTTGTCTCACTAACAAGGCAATCCCCAATGTCCGGATCCGATTGGGGAACAACTTTACTTTACTATTTGTTGGGTTTTGTCTTATCTGTCTTTTTGCGAAGTACGTGTTTTTGCAGCCCCATTCACAGGATTTAAATAATTTGAGAGGCGGGCTTCGACCCAGCCTGTTAGAGCCAACCCAAACTGAGAGAGACAGAACGTTTAAACAGGGGGACAGCGAGATACTTAATAAAATTTTTCCCACTCAGAAATCAGCTTTGAGTTTCCTGCGTGTCACATTGAGGCACCTAACCGCTACACCACAAACATCGGTACAACACGAGTCTTTCACTAAATATCTCTGGTTGCGCGACTTCCCCTTTAGTTTTAATAAGGTTTTTACGACATTTGCAACATGAATATGTCACATAAGCAACGAACATTAGATGTGGTAGGCCTACTAAAGAGTACCATACAAAGAAGAAAAGGAGAGAACAGAATTACGTGTAAATTGAAAGGAAAGACGGAGCAAACCGCATCAGAGCATCTGCCAATCCACACACTGACTTCCCCTTTAAATGAATATGTGGTGGACTCAGGCTCTCGTCAAAATAATCAAAATCAAAATGAAGAAACTTGCATTTTTCCGCAGGTTTGTGGATTTTTATTAAATTTTTGTTTTTGTGCTCAACACCTTTCATGCCCATTAAAGAACTCATTTCTGTGTGGATGTTTCTGAAAAACGTTGATTAAAGACACAAAAAATATAAATTTACAGTTACCACGGACTATTAAGCTGACAACAAAATAACTAGTCTTTGGTGGCCATTTTCTCACTTATTTTACCTCTGAAAACAGGTGACACCCACCTCCTTCTTTCGCAAATATCTCGACTTGTTTTCAAGATAAATGGATATATTTTTCATCCAAATAAAGACAAGTGAACAAGCTTTAAGATAATACCAAAAACTCTACATGCTCAAAAATTGACGAGAGCCTGATTCCACCACGCTGCCTCACCATTTGTTACCTACGTGTTATCACGACCGATACGTTCTGAATTGGTTCGACCATGTGTGTAACATCTCGAAAAGTAAAACAGTAGAGCACCCCTAAAAAACAAAGAAAAACAAACTAAAACAAAAATCCAGAAGTCGCGTGACTTGAACTTTTGCTATTGCTCTTGGGTACTTAAAGCAACTCCTCAGAGAAGATCCCCACAGAGGGCGACGAACCTTGAGCTGGCCACTGTTCTCTTCACCATGAATTTCTCTATCGTCTTTGCTGGCCTCTGCTTGGTCGCTGCCACCAGTGGGTAAGAAAAACGTCTTTAACAAGGTTGTTTTTGTTAATTCTTAGAATGCGGCGAACTAGTTCCACTGGCACACAGTATCGCTCTGTTGTTTACAGTCATTACAAATTTGTACGAAACCCCAGCACTATAACAAGGCTGTATGTTCATTGCTATGATAATTCATTGCTTCTCAGGTTTGTGTTCATTTTACGCAAATAAGTGAAATGGGATTGGAAATAGCTCTATTGGGTAGCTTAGCTTTCTAAACTGAAAACTCGATGACAAAATTAGCTGTGTTTATAGGTGGAATAATAGCAGTCCGTATACTAAGAAAGATACAGAAGGTCATTTTTACCATCATCTATCAAAATGCTTCCATCTTAACCATCTATCTTGTTTAGTGTACTTACGACCTTAGAGCATGCATCAAAATAACATTGAGTGTGTATCTAGCTTACGGTTATTATTGTTTATATTGCTGCTCATTTATATCATGTATGTGATTGTAAGCCTACTTGTGTGTGCATGTGCGTGCACGTGTGTACGTGTGTGTGTGTGTGTGTTTGTGTGTGTGTGTGTGTGTGTGTGTGTGTGTGTGTGTGTGTGTGTGCGTGTGTGTATGTGTGTGTACTCGTGGTGGAACACCAAACCAATGTGCCAGGATCTGGACAATAAAGATGTATCTTATCTTATCGTATCTAAGACTACAGTACTAAGAGTTAAGTTTCTGGACACAGGGGTTGTCTAAAGTCACACACTTTGTCAGATAGAGGAATAAAGGGTCATATTTCCACTCCTTAAACCACGAGGAGATTGGTCTTATAGATTTAACTCAATAGAATGACCAAACACAAAATGAGAATAGACATCTGCTTTCCTCTTGAAAAAAAAAAAAAGAATGGTGATCTGAACATTTAACCTCAAATTGTATGGATTGAAATATCTAATTTAACGTATTCATACAAGGTATCTGATCCCATACAATCGGCGGATTCCAAGTAGTGTCCTTTTAGGAATTTTTGATTTATAATAATTTTGCTCCATTTATTATTTTAATATTATTTCATTATTTTACTCAAATCAATTCTATTGTTAATATTATTGTTTTTAATATTGATGTTATGACAGTGTTTCTTCTTCTTCTTCTTCTTTTTCTTCTTTTTCTTCTCCTTCTTTTTCTTCTTCTTCTCCTTCTCCTTCTCCTTCTCCTTCTTTTTCTTTTTCTTCTTCTTCTTTTTTTTCTTTTTCTTCTTCTTCTTCTTCTTCTTCTTCTTCTTCTTCTTCTTTTTCTTCTTCTTCTTCTTCTTCTTCTTCTTCTTCTTCTTCTTCTTCTTCTTCTTCTTCTTCTTCTTCTTCTTCTTCTTCTTCTTCTTATTATTATTATTATTATTATTATTATTATTATTATTATTATTGTTATCATTATTATTATTATTATTATTATTATTATTATTATCAATATTTGTATTATGATAATCATTAGCATTATTTATTATTTATTTATTTATTTATTTATTTATTTATTTATTTATTTATTTATTTATTTATTTATTTATTTATTTATTATTTAATTGATTGGAGGTTTTTTTTCTTAATTATCATTAATACTGCCCTTAATCCATAATCGTGTTATCGATAAAAATAGACGGTAACATAAATGATGACACTCTAAGGGGGGGGGGGGTGATGAGAAAGGGTGGGGGAGGGGGGAGGCAATTACAGCGAATTATAGGCGATTTCCAGGTTGAGAACCATAGATATGGGGTACATAGAAGCGGAACCAATAAATTGGCAAAAAGATATTATCAATCTGCATACAGGAAAAAGAGGCTAAAACAGCACCTGGACATGGATGGCTGGTTCCTCTATAAATAAATCATTGATGGTCAGGTCAGGTCAGGAATAAAGGGTGACTGTTTTTTGTTGTTGTTGTCAAAGTTCCTCTCTGGAGCCGAATACTGTATCAGCCAGAGGGCAACAAAGGGCTACACTCTTGGACACAGCTATTCTCTGGAGTCGACCACTGTGTGAATCTCAAGAGGAGTCATCTCTGGCTCAGAAGTGGACTTGTAATGACCCGCCATTGCTTACGGTCGCTAACTGCTGCTCTCGTGCATTCTGTCATATTATGCATCTTAATTCGTACTTTGATGTTCTGTGTCCACATTGAGCATTGTCCACCTAAACTGTTGTGGCCCACATCTTGCCATCGAGTCCATGAATTTTCTTCAAAATGGTCTTGTAAGATTGAACTTTGTTTAAGTATTGCACCTTTATATATTTCATTTTGTTCAACATGATTTGCTTTGTTTGGAGACGTCCATGTGAGATAGAGGAATAAAGGGTTTCATTTCTTGACATAATATGTCCTCTCTGGAGTCGAATTCATGCACATTTCTTTGAAAATCTCATTTAAAAAAGATTATTTTGTTTAATGGTTGTAATTGTAAGCGTATACTGTGCTATTTCGATTACCACTATAGATCAAGCAATGTAAGAAGCGACTTCTCCGATTTTAACGGCTGTCTGCAATAGGACCGTGTTTTCTCCTTCTTCCGGTCTAGTACCGGAGTTCATCTCATTGTTCCGGTCTAGCACTGGAGTTCATCAAAGATACACGTTCGATTCCTGTGAAAGGAAGTGTATTGTAAGAAGTAGGCATGGGCAAATTATAGCCAGGGGCCAAATCCGGCGGGACAAGCAATTTCAGTCCCCGAGTCAACCAAGTAATTAATGAAAGTGTCCCGTGGTAATTGACAATTACTGAAAACAAAACTGTCCGTCTTGAAAATTAAAAGATGGTGAAATGGTATAATTTTTACGCCCCTAACTTCACTATTGAGTTTTTTATGAGCTTGGACCTCCCAGTTTAACGTCCATCTCGAAAAGGACCGAGCCAAACGGCAAGTTCGTGTAAACCGCCTTTCCCAAGAACACAATGTTGGACCATGAAAATTAAAATTAATACATTACGGCCTAACTAGAAGCAATCGATCTAATATTTCCATTTATGAAATACCCTATGGTGGTTATGCTATACTGTCGGTTTTAGTCTCACTTTTGAGAGCTTGGGTATTTCACCCAGTTTTCTTTTGTTTGACCAATGAGACATTCAAAATTGCTTAATCCTGCCTGCCACTTTAACGCGCTTGCTCATGCCCAGTAAAGAGTTTCATTCACCACAGTGTCTCATAACCATCAAGTACAAAGTATTGCTGCATTTACCCCAAGCCAGACGTGTGATATTCTTTAATTTTACATCGATTTGAGAAATAATTCGCCTTACATTCAAATAGTTCTGCACGCTTCGTATAGTAGTGAACAGTACAAACATCTTGAATGCTGAAAAGTAAAGTCTAACTAAAAGGCACAACTCTACAGAGAACCGTCACTAGCGTCTGTGGTGTAGCGGTCAGATGCTTCGCCGTCGCACGCAGAACACCTGAATTAATTTTCATTTAAGATGAATTTTCATCAAGCATATTATTGGACGTTCTACCAAGATGTGATATACCTCTCTGCCCAGGTCGGCCCTGGTAGGCAGGTTCGAAGCCCGCTTCGTAAATGATCTAAATTGCGTCGATTTTGGTGGGGGTGGGGGCATCTACATTCATTTGTGAAAAAAAACCCAACAACATTGCTTTTGCTCTTCGCGTCTTAAGGTGGGCGTAAACAAGGGAGATATATCAAAACTGGCACGAATAAAGGGACGGAAGTTTTCACCTTCAAAATTCCCCCACAGGCATAAAGTAACGGGGTCGGGAAAATAAAGGGTCTTGGTCACTTTGTGGTCGTTTTGAGAAAAATAAAATATCAATTTGGACTTAAACATGATATACTTCCGGGTTTGGGTAATTTGTAAAGGCAATATCTCTGATTTGATAAAGACAATATCTCTGATTTGATGCCCTCCAGCTATTTTATTCAAACGCAGTGTCGTGCAGACTGCCATGACTGGTGTTGTCATACGAAAATCTCTAAATGGGGCTTAGATCCTTTGTCTTTCTGACCCTTTCAAGCATAAAATGTATAGCCCGTCAAATATTGGCAACTATTAATGTTTTTGTTATCGCTGGTGTATTTTTTAATTGTATTCCTTTCTCTCTTTCCCTAACCCCCAATCCACATTCCCTTCCACCCCTTTCCCAGCTCCAGCTACGACGTCTACCCCACCGATGAAGAAAGCGTCTTTGATTTGTTCAACAAGTTCAAATTCGACTTTTCTAAAACGTATCATTCCTTCCAAGAAGAAAAAGTGAGGTTCTTCAACTTCCGTGAAAATGTACATAGGATAAATGCAAAAAACGAAATCCATGCCGGAATCACAACTTTCAAAATCAACCAATTTGCCGACATGTCACAGACAGAATTCAGAAACAGGATTTTGATGACGAGTACGGTGTCTCCCGACTTTGAGGAAATGCAGAGCCATCAGGCCGAGATTTCCCCAGATTTGGAGGAACTTGTGGCTCCACAGCATTTTGACTTTACCGGTACAGGCGCTGTGACGTCAGTTAAGAACCAGGGAGATGCCGGGACTTGTTGGGCCTTTGCTACAGTAGGTAACCTGGAGGGTCAGTACTTTATGAAGACCAAGGAGAACGCTACGTCTCTCTCCCCGGAACAGCTTTCAGACTGTTCGTCTTTCTACGACAAGAAGATGAAACATCCGACTTGTGGTCCCAACGGGGGCTGGCCTAATGCCGCCTACCAGTACGTGAAACAGGCAGGGGGCATCAACACAGAAGAGGATTACCCTTACTGTGTAGGTAAAAATCCAAGATGTAAACCGTGTGCGCCGCCGAACTACAACGCCACAGTTTGTTACACCTCTTGGCCTTACGGTCCTGGCACTTGCAAGAAGTCCGAAAGTTGCAGTGCAAAGATCAAGCCAGAGAAATTTGTGCCCGCCATTAAGGTAAAAGATTATCAGTATGTGCCGAAAGACGAGGGAGTCATTGCCAAATTGTTGATTAAGAACGGACCCCTGTCTATAGTCTTTGACGCCTCAGACATAATGAGCTATTCTGGTGGGGTACTGAAGCCTCATTACTGCACGCCTGGACAATTTACCCACTGTGTTTTGTTGGTGGGCTACGGCCATGACAAGAAATCGGGACTGGACTACTGGAAGATCAAGAACTCCTGGGGCGAAACCTGGGGGGAGGACGGTTACTTCAAAATGCAGAGAGGGGTGGGAGCATGTGGGGTCAATCTCATGGTCAGCTCCGCCATTTTGGAGTGAGTGAGATGGTGGATGAGTGAGGGAGCGAGTGAGACTAAAGTGACGGAATTTCACAAAATGGAAGAGTTTTCCTGGCGAGATTTGACGTCATTCTCCATCCATTGCTATTCGGTGTTTACGTTCTGGTCGTCACATAATAAAAGGGAAGACACGCCCTCTACTTTTTAGATTCAACCTGTGTTCTAACTCGTCAGGAAAACGTATTGTTTTGGGTCACAAAAACAGTCTACTGTACATGCTACAGATTTGATCGCTGGAACAAATTTTATTTGTGATAAAGGTGGCATGCAAAACTGTAAATTTAAAGTAAATGACAATATCTATTTTCCCCTACAGCAACATGTTGTAAATCATTAATATTTTTTTGAATAACAAACTTTGAAATCCTCAATAAAATATCTGGCTTCCTTTCCGATTGTTTGTTTTCTTTCGATTGTCTGTCACTACGCCAAGAAACAGGCCCCATTAGGATTTTTCTCAGGCGAGTTGGGGGGGGGGGGGGGGGGGGCATAATATGTAGATGTGTCTATGCTTTATTCAACATAATTTGAATCATTTAGAAGACCAGCTTCGAAGCTGTCTGTCAGGAACAAATCCTAGCAGAAAGACAGAGAGGGGGGGGGGCATAATATGTAGATGTGTCTATGCTTTATTCAACATAATTTGAATCATTTAGAAGACCAGCTTCGAAGCTGTCTGTCAGGAACAAATCCTAGCAGAAAGATCGAGAACTCGATAACAATTCTCCTCAAACAGAAAGCGAGCTTTGGTCTTCTGCTTGCGACAACGAAACGCTTAACAGTTACACCACAAATAGTGTTGTTTGAAATGATTTCGTAATACATAAATTCGTAATGCGCACAAAATAATTCGCTGATTCATAACCATAGACAGTTAAGTGAGACCACAGCGTTCTTTTCCTTCATAAAACAACTTGTACTCCGTCCCACAAACAAAGTGGCAACACACTGATATCTGTTAATCACTTGTCACCCTCTATTTTATCCACTCTTGCTATCTTCATACTCAAAACAGCAAATGTTTGAGGGCCACTGTGTAACTATACTGAACGATACAAGTATCATCGTTTTCAGTGACATGGCTTTCGATAAAAAAAATAACCGAATGTATCATAATCACTGGTTTTTTTGTTTTTATGTTTAGTAATCAGGCACGTAACAAAAGAGAACATTTAGTAATAATAATAATGAAATAATTTCATAATAAAAGTTTGTAAAAAAGGAAAATGATGATTATAATGAAATGCTGATGATAATTAATAATAATGATAATAATAATAATAATAATAATAATAATAATAATAATAATAACAATAATGATACATTGTATTATTAATAATAATAATAATAATAATAATAATAATAATAGTAGTAGTAGTAGTAGTAGTAGTAGTGGTAGTAGTAGTAGTAGTAGTAGTTGTAGTAGTAGTAGTAGTAGTAGTAGTAGTAGTAGTAGTAGTAGTAGTAGTAGTAGTAGTAGTAGTAGTAGTAGTAGTAGTAGTAGTAGTACACAAAATCTGTATTATTATAGCGCATTCCACTAGGACAATGGTCAGTGAGCTATAAAAATATAAAGAGAGACACAGTTCAAATTGTCTGTCTGTCTGTCTGTCTGTCTGTCTGTCTGTCTGTCTGTCTCTCCTGTCTTTCCTCTCTCTCCTTCTCTCTCTCTCTCTCTCTCTCTCTCTCTCTCTCTCTCTCTCTCTCTGTTTCTTTCATCTTTTCTCTTTTAATCACTTCCTCTCTTTCTCTCTTTATCTCACATACTCTCCTCCCCCCTACCTCTCCCCCCTCTCCCCTCCCCTCTCTCTCTTTCTCTCTCTCTCTCTCTCTCTCTCTCTCTCTCTCTCTCTCTCTATCTATCTCTCTCTCTCTCTCTTTCTGACTCTGTTTCTAACCTCATTTCTTTCTTTATCTGCCTCTCTTTTGTTGTCTTCTCTTTACTCACGACAGTCACTCCGTCTGTCTATTGAACTGTCTATCGATTTGCTTGTCTACAAGCCCATCTATTTGTCTATACGTCTGTCTTGGTGGTATATGGATGATGAGATGACAAAAGGTTGAGGATCACAGAGTGAAGACCACGGGGTGATGGCCATTGGGGAGGACATTACAGCAAGGTGATAATTATTATATAATGAAATGACCACAAAGTAATGATCAATGAATGACGAAATGACCACAAAGTAATGATCAAAGAGTGATAAATGACTACAGGGTTATTAATTAATTACCACAATCCCCAGATTGTAAGGTAAACGGGGAGATGAAATGACCACTGAATGATGAAATGATCACAAGGCATCGGTCACAGAGTGATGAAATGACCACAGGGTTATTAATTGATGACCACAGGGTAATCCCTAGATTGTAAGGCAAACAGGGTGCTGAAATGACCACTGAGTGATGAGATAAGCTCTAAGTGATGAGATGACCACTGAGTGATGAGATGAGCTCTAAGTGATGAGATGACCACTGAGTGATGAGATGACCATGTGGTGATGAAATGACCACTGAGTAATGAGATGACAATGTCGTGATGAGATGACCACTGAGTGATGAAATGACCACTGAGTGATGAGATGACCACTGAGTGATGAGATGATCCTGTCGTGATGAGATGACCACTGAGTGATGAGATGAGCTCTTAGAGATGAGATGACCACTGAGTGATGAGATGACCACTGAGTGATGAGATGATCACTGAGTGATGAGATGACCATGTCGTGATGAGATGATCACTGAGTGATGAGATGACCACTGAGTGATGAGATGACCACTGAGTGATGAGATGACCAAAGGAAGATGACCACAACCTCAATCAAGTTCAGCAGCGGCAGACCGTTCTCCCAAGCCCTCCCCCACCTTCCCCACCTCCCCGGCCTCCTCCTCATCTGGCAGCGCAGCATAGGCCAGGTGGCAGGGTGTGTCCAGGTCCCAGTGTCTGACGACATAGGTCAGGTGGCAGGGTGTGCCCAGGTCCCAGTGTCTGACGACATAGGTCAGGTCGCAGGGTGTGTCCAGGTCCCAGTGTCTGACGACATAGGTCACGACGCAGGGTGTGCCCAGGTCCCAGTGTCTGACGGCATAGGTCAGGTCGCAGGGTGTGCCCAGGTCCCAGTGTCTGACGACATAGGTCAGGCTCACGTCGCTGGCCAGGTCAAGGAGAGTGCAGGTCAGAGCCATGTACCAGCTGGGACCCACGGAACCCATGTCTTCTGGGTCAAGGTCAAGTTTGAATCGGATGATCCTGGCCGTCATTACAATACCTGAAGAGGGAGGGTTATCGTTTAGAGTAAAAGGGTGTGTGTGGACACAATGAGACAGAGGGGTGGAGGAGGGAGGGAGGGAGAACAAAAAAGGAATAAGGGAGAGAGGAGGAAGGAGAGGGATATATATATATA